GGAGCAGTCACATGGCTTTATGTATCTTCAAGAAGGCAGGGCATTTGGCTAATGAGATGAGATGGCTCTGCAGGTAAAAGTGCTTGTTGCGAAGCCTGAGGACCTGAGAGTTTCATTGCTGTAGCTCACATGGTGGAAGGAGAGAGAGAACTCCAGCAAGTTGTCCTCTGACCTCCACACATGTGCTGTAGCATACATGCTTGCATGCATGTGTGTGAATACACACACACACACAATAAAATTTTATCATGAGTGTGTGTGATAAAATTTTATTTCCAAAGGCTGGGAATAGTTTAGGGAAAATGAACGGAAAATAGTAAGCATCCTCAAGGGGGTATCTCACACCTTGACATCCTTTCCTTTTATTTCTTCCTTTGGAATGAGCTTATTTCCAGTGCTGTGGCAGTGGTAGCTGCTTCTAGAAGGCGTGGTGTTGGCGATCTTTTTTGTTGCTTCAGCTCTCTCTCATCCATGAGCATTATAGGCTGGCTTAAGGGGTCTGCTTGCCCACCAAAAGTCATGTTTGATTTAGAGCATTTCAAAGCTGTGGGGGTACTGCTGCAAATGAAGACAACTGGAGTTTGTATTTCCAAACTCAAGGGCAAAGAGCTTTGCACTGGTAAGCTGAACATTTGTACATATATGTGGGCAGCAATAAATCCATAGATGGTGTATTAAACACCAAGCAATTTAAAACTACAAACAATAGAAGAATGCAAAGAGAACTAAAACTTGACGTACGGCCTGGTACCTCCCAACACTGCCTCAGCTGAGACTCACTCATCCTTAAGTGCTGAAATGGCTCATTCTTCTGTGGCAGTGAGCTTTTGTCCACTGTATTTTCTGACCCATGTGGTAGTTAAAAAAATTAACCATCTCAAATAAGATTTTATTGATGAAGAAAATCATCTTAAACATCATGCTACCCTTACAGTTTCATGGAGGCATTTCCCCAGGAAGACTTGGAAATAAGGCTCAAAGAGAAGCCAATAGAAGTGAAGAATTTACAGAGCTCTATCTGCTATGGGCTGGATGTGGCATGTGCCTGTTATCTCAGCATCCAAAAAGCTGAGGCAAGAAGATCTAGAGTTCAAGGCTGGTCTGGGATATATAATGAGATCCTGTCGCAAAAGAACAATAAAATTACAGTTATCAATAGCCCTGCAGAGATTAAAATCATACCTTTGATGTGTTTCCAGTTTTCCAGGAGGTCACTCTGTGACCTTGAGATTATTTGGACCCTTCATGTCCTATAATGTCTATTTTAAAAAAATACTTCCAGATGAAAGGGGGTGTGGCAATTACTTGGTAAGTTATATAACAACAGAAAAGGTTTCCTGGTCTCTTCAGATAAACTAGATTTTCTGTTCACATCTGTCAAGTCAGGGAGCTGCTCCCCTGGTGGATTCTTTTTTTTTTGGCACCATGGCAATAGAGCATGTGATTATGGGTGGGACTTTGTCTGTTTTTAGTCCTGGGGATTAAATCTGCAGCCTCACACACACTAGGCAGGTAGTCTGCTACTCAGCTACAACCCATTCCTTTTTGACTTTTTGTTTTTGACATATGGTCTTCCTAAGTTGCCCAGACTGGCTTTGATCTCATTTTGTATTCCATGCAGGCCCCGATCTTGAGGTCTTCCTGCCTCATCCTCAGTAGCTGGGATTATAGGTTTCTAAAACACTAGGCCTGATTTATAGGGCTACTTTTTTCCTTTTTAAAATTTTTGGTTGGCATAAAAAACAGTGGGATTCATTATGATTGTTAAGATACATCATTATAACATGGAAGGATGTGTGTGTGTGTGTGTGTGTGTGTGTGTGTGTGTATTATTTGTCTGTTGCTGTGATGAGACACCATGACCATGGCAACCTACAGAAGGAAGAATTTATTTGGGTTATGGTTCAGAGGGATTGCAGTCAATAATAGCAGGGAGGCATGGCAGCAGAAGTGGCTGGAGCAGAAAGCAGAGCACTCACATCTTGAAGCAGGCACAGGAAGCAGAGAGTGACTGGAAATTTGGCAAGACTTGACAACTCTCAAAGCCTGCCCCCAGTGGGCCACACCTCCTGAAATCTCCCAAACCTGTAGCTCCAACTGGGGACCTAATGTGTAAACACTTGGAGCCTATGGAGGACATTCTCATTCAAACCACCACAGTGTGTGTGTGTGTGTGTGTGTGTGTGTGTGTGTGTGTGTGTGGATGTGTGTATGTGTGTGTGTATTCTGGCATGTGTGCAGAGGCCAGAGGCCAAAGTCGTATGTCATTCCTCAGGTGCTACCCACTTTGTTTTAATTTTTTTCAAATTTATTTTTCTTATGTGTATGAGTGTTTTGCTGCATGTATGTAAGTGTACCTGTGTGTACAATGCTCACAGAGGCCAGAAGAGAATATTGGATCCCCTGGAACTAGAAGCGGATATGGGTGCTAGGAACTGAACCTGGGTCCTCTGCAAGAACAACCAGTGATAACTGCTGAGCCATCTCTCCAGCTCTCCACCTTGTTTTAAGACAAGAATGTTCACTGACCTGGACTCACTAAGCAGGCTGGGCTGTCTGGCCTGTGAACCCCAGTGATCCACCTGTCTCTGCCTGGGCAACACTTGGATTATAAGTATGTGTCACCATGGTCAGCTTTTTAAAGTGGGTTCTGGGGATTGAGCTCAGGTCCTCATGCTTGCATGGAAAGCATTTTACCAGCTGAGCTATCATCCCAGCCTGAGGGTCTGCATTTTTAGGGATGATAATGATAAGACTCAGAGGACTGACACACAATTTGGAGGCCTCGGGGAGAAAAGTATTAGGGAAAGAGTGAGATGACTTTAGGTTGAGTACTTCCTACAGCTAGAATGAGATAGTGGTCTTTGGGGGGGAAAAAAAAACACTGAAAAGTAAATGATGTTGTATCAATACAATGCTTCATTAAAGGCAAAAACTGATTTTCTGTTTAATAGTCTTCCTAACCCCCTAGCTGAAAGAGACAGTAGTAGCTCCTGGCTGGTCTATGTGGGGCACTTACAGGTAACGACCCAGCTTGACAATGACCTGGAGCCAGGAAAGACACTTCCACTATGGCCATGCTCCCTTGGGTGCATCTGGCATGTGAGTTAGATGCTGGGCACTTGCTGTCACCCAGAGAGAACTACAGTAGAATGTGGTATGTGGCATGCAGCAGATTGAGTCCTGTGGAATGGGATGGGACTGTGACTTGGAAATTAGGAAAGCTGCTAAACTGTTGCTGTAGGGGAGGAAGCCAGGTAAGAGGGAGGCATATCAATGAAGAAACGCCAAGCACCTAATATCCTTCTCCATTCAAGAAAGAGGAGAATCCAGGGTGACCTGCAACTGAAGGGTGAAGGAGAGTCCCAGGAGGGGAGCCAGAGGAGACGCAAAGATAAGGAAATGGCAGCTCTTTTAGTTTAGCTGCAAATTTCAAAGTAGCAGTGTGTCATGCTGCCTGGGCCAGCCTGAGGATCCCAGCCACCCTCTCAGAGCCTCCCTTCAGTCCCGATAGCCACCTTGGCTACTTATTACTTCTTCACACAGTTTCATCTTAGCTTATCCACTTTTCAAACCTCAGAGCAAACACAAGCCCAGATCAAAGTTTTGCCAAAGGCATTAAGTAGGTACTAGATGCCTCTGGGAGCTCTGGGCCATGCTGCAGCCCCTCGGGTCTTGAGAATGCCTGCCACCACAGGAACCAGCCCAGCAATGGGCAGCAGCCCTACTCTGGCTGCAAACAGAACTTTGCTTTGTAGTAGATTCCCAATGGGGCTCCCTTCCACCGAGACTCTAACCTGGCCCTGTAGGGAGCCTGGGAAGTGGTATACCTTCTTACAAGAAATTCACAGTCAAGGGCGCACTTGGGGCAAAATTTCTCTACTAGGCATTTTGTCTTCCTTTCTTGAATTTGCTCATCGACTTCTCAGGTGTTACCAAAACATAAAACACACACACACACACACACACACACACACACACACTTACGAGATTAAAAATGCTCCAGCGAGAAATGGAGGATGCAAACTTTTGGGCAAACTTAAAGTGCCACTGACTGAAACATGCATAATTTCCCCAATTGTTTTTGTGAAAAGTGCCTTTTTGGGGTGCACTTAAAAATACATTTTAAAATTTATATTTTCCTGCATGTTACAGTACGTTTTGGTCAAGTACGATTCCTGCTCTCCCCTTCACTCCTCCTTGATCCTCCCCTTCATCTTTGAACTTCATCCTCTTTTTTGTGCATTTTTTAATTTTATTTTAAGGAAATTTTCATGTTAGTTTGGGGGGTATTTTGCCCTTGGATCAAAGTGAAGTCTTTCTAGTTGTGCTGAGAAAGTATTTTAGTCCATGGGAACATCCCCCCCCGCCCCCCTAAATCTTTGACACCAATTTATACCTGGTGCCAAGGCAAGTTACACTTGGGGCTGATCTTCATGAATTAATATTTCCCTCTTCCAAATCTGTTAACTGCTCAAACCTGCATGTAGGAACAGGGATACGGCGGCAGAATCGGCCCAGAGGCAAATGATCGCACACAGTCCACCCTGCGCCTAGGTCCTGGTCACACATTCTCCATCTCTCTCCTTCCCAGAGTGAGTAGCGAAGTTATCAAGTGCCTAAAATGGATGGGGTCAAATCTTGGAGCCCGGAAAAGTGCAGCTCCAGAGCCTTCCTCAAACTCAAGCACTGTAGGAACACCCATCTGGCCTCTAGTGAGTGACCATTCCCTGGGACACGAGGCTTTTCTCAACGCGGAGACCCGCGCTCCCCCGTCTCTGGCTCCCCAGCCGTCTCTCCTGGACCAGTTCAGACCCTAGCTAGGGGCTCCGCCTCGCCTCCTCTCGTGGCTTAGCTCCCAGCCAGGCTCGCAGCAGCCCCCTCTGGCGCTCACAACCTGCAGGAAAGTTGCTCCGGGCGGTGGAGGGGCGTCATCGCCTCCTAGCAACGCTCCTAGCAACCGGATAACATCTGCTCCCTTTGGTCCAATGCGCGCCTAGAAAAGCCGCGCACTCGCTTCGCGTTCTAAGCCCGAGCGAGAGGCGCTTCTGAGACGGAGGAAGGGACCTGCAGGAGCCTGCCGCCCGCCAGCTGCCGTTGCCGCCGCCACCGGTGCCACCGCTGTCCGCGCGTGTCGGAAGAGGGACACCGCTGGGAAGGCAGGAGCTGCGAAACAGTTACACACGCCGTCTCCCGGGGAGTGGACCCCGCTCGCAAGGTATGCCAGGACCCCTCCAGCCAGGCACCTGTCCTCGAGGCTCAGAAAAAACGCAAGAAGAGGCTAGGCATTTGGCTTGGGATCTCACCCTGCCCCCAGCCATTGAAAACCAGCCAGCTGCTGGTCCCCAAGAACCTGATTTATTTGAATTTTAAATTCTGGGATTGGGGCTTGAGACTCTCCCCTGCTCATCACTGTTGGGTTGGTGCTCAGAAGTTTTAGACTCTGCTTGTTTTTGCTTTGCCTCTCTGCCTGAGGCTAGAGAGTTGGAGTCAGCGAGCGCCCTAAGGCAGCCGGTGGTTACTGCTAAGATGACACGGTGTAGGCTCCACTAAATTCAGTCAACACGTCTGGAGAGCAGGTTTCTTTTTTAGGTCCATTTGGCCAGGAGCAACCATTCACAGGCCCTCAGCCTCCTGAGCAGTAACCATAGTAACTCACCTAGCTAGATGGGATCGTCCTTATTGGATGCCTGTCTTCCCTTGGAAAGCCCGTCTCTCTAAATATAGAAGATGATGAGATCCCTTAGCACACAGCCATGTAGACTAGGTGCGGTTAAGCCCTTTGCTGAGAAACTATCTTGAAATATGTAGCGGCGTTTGGCCAGAAAGAGTCAGGATTCCAGAGAAAGACCAAGGTACTGTATTTTAAGCTAACTCATTTTTGCTACTTTAGAGGGAATCCATCCTGAAATTATACAAAAGCCGACTGTGATTATTAAAAAGCAGTCTATTGATAATCTTTTGAAAATAATCACCCAAGTAAATAACTGGTAAGATGAGTTATTTGACTCTTTCAAAACCTCTCAGGGGAGTTGCTCCTGCTGAAACTTAAGTCTGGAAAATGTTCATATGACTGTTGTGTTTGAAGGTTTATCTCTGTCTTATCTTCAAACATCTCAGCGTCCCTCCCTGTATGCCTTCTCCTGCCCTGATAACCACTTCACTTCTCTGCAGCCCCGACTTTGCAGAGGTGATTTGTGTCTGTCTCCTTGTTTCAAGATCTCAGGTGCCCATTCATGAGTCCCAGGCTATGAGAAACGCTCCACGTGCCAAGGGGAGCTCTCAACAGATCTGAGCTGTCCTAAAGAGACGCTATTCCGACTGAGTCAGCATTACCAGGTAATCACCAGCTTAAGAAAATTACTGTTTAAATATGTATCCAGAGAAATAAATGTTAATGTAACATTGCTGTATCTTACAAGATCAATAGGAGAGGCTGTTTATATAGATGGTTGCTGGGGAGAAGTCAATAGAGGTTTTCTGTAAAAAGGACATTTGTGGGCTGGCAGACTTTCCTGGCTTAGACCCATGTGAATTGGGTGGGCCAAGTGAAGGAGTTGGGCTCCTGGAGCAAATGGAGGCGTCCAACACAGTAGTGTGGGTCTGGGGGAAAGAAATCAAGTTGCAAAAGGAGGTTGTGAGTTTTTAAAATCTAATTTACATTAAGGCTATGATGATAGAAGTTGAGTATGAAGCTCTTTATTCTCAGTTTTAAGACTGAACATGATTTGTTAAAGAGTGTCTAGCTCTCCAGTACTGTGGAACCTCCACAGGTACTGAGTTATCCGTGTGCAGTTCCCAGAAGAGACCAGCTCAGCAAATGTCAAGCTCAGAAGAATGTGCTGGACTGCATTTCAGCCTCTTTACCCGCCTCTGTAGAGATTTTCAATCAGAAAGAATCTACTTAGAAACGTATTGAAAGTTTTTTTCTGATCTTACATGGATTTTATGAATATCATGAGACTTTGAAATTGCTGATTTTTATAGTCACTTACTGAAATATCTGTAGTTTAATAACATTAAGCATTAGAGATAACCATTTGAAACATTAAGAACTGTGGAGCTCATTGGCTTTTATTACCACCCACCTTTATTCCTTCTTCCATGATAATTGCCATGTTTTATTGTGAGAAACAAATTCAAGGAGGCAGATGAGACTCATTGGCATCTTCTGGTGTCCTGTGCATGTCATTGATCTCAGGAGCGTGTAAGCAAAGCAGCCACCGTGATCGTTTTCCATGTGTGCCTTAGTCTTGTGCATTAGTTTTATAAATATATATATATATATAGTCATATGAGATATATATAGATATCTATATATATCTATATATGATATCTCATATGTAGATATCTATATATGATATATGATATCTCATATCTATATATTATATGATATATATTTCATATATATCATATATAGTTATATGAGATATATATCTGTCTCATATGACTATATTTAGTCTCATATATTAGGCATGCAAGTATAAATCTCTGTGTCCTTTAATATTTATGAATGACCCTGCCCTTTCATTGGGACCACTGTTGAAATCAAAAAGGCCAAATGAAAGAGCTTCTTAAACTTTAATTTTGGTTTTCACCATAAAGGTGTACACTGTGACCATTTTGGTGAACATATCTTTAAAAAAGTCACATATATAAAATAGGATTTTATCATAGGATTTTAGTCTCAAATAAATAAAAATAAATTCATGTAATCGTCATAACAGATATTCAATCCTAGAGACATTGGTGGATCTACAAATAGAGTGATCCATCAATGAAAAACAAATTGTATTCAAGGATTTAGTTACCCTCATCAGTGTTGCTGCCATCTCTGTATTTGCACATTTTGGGTCATAACAGGGGTGTGTGCTTGAGGTAAGACGCTTAGGTCAAGCCAAGCTCAAACAGGTTAGAACTGAAACCGACTCCTAATTTTAGCCTTCTCTTTCTGCTGGCTCTTTCTATTTGGAAGTTCTTAGGTATATATGAACATTCGCATTCAATTTTATGTCGTGGGACTTCAATAGGGCTTACAAGATACCTTGAGACACATTGGGATGTTTGAAATCATCAAGAGGATGAGGCCCTGGACTCCATAACTGGGTTCTAGGCTGATGACTCATCACTTTCATCAGGGAAAGCACTGAAGTCCTAAACATACAGGATAGCCAAAGAACACATGGCTCACACTATCTGTCTGCCAGAGTAGCATGTACTATGGAAACAAACAAACAAAAAACTAAACCACTTTCGCAGAAACGAGCAGGAGTGAACTGCCCCAACCCTTAGCATGGCGACAAAGGAAGGAAATCTTTCTTCCTGGTGTATGTGTGTGTGTGTGTGTGTGTGTGTGTGTGTGTGTGCATCTGGGGTGGGGGCAGGCTTGTCAATTCATTTTTCACATTTTAGCTTTTTAAATTATCTATTTAAAATTTTTAAATGTATTTTATTTAAATTTTTAAAATGTATTTTATTGTGTGTGTATGAATGGTTGGCCTGCATGTAAGTGCACTGCATGTGTGTAATGCCTGTGGAGACCAGAAGAGGGTGTCAGATCCTCTGGAACTGGAGTTATGGATGACTGTTAGCTGGCTTATGGGTGCTGGGAACTGAACTCAGGTCCTCTGCAAGAGCAGCCAGTGCTTTTCATTGTGGGGCCATCTCTTCAGCTCCATAAGCTATCATTTAAATGGTGCTAATCCACGGTTGCTCTCTGTTAGTCTAACACAATTATTTTTCACTTTTTCCTAGTCAAAGTTATACAAAGACACCAATGCAGAGCCAACCAGTTTATGGTACTAATTCTCAGTGGGTGTAAAGGGGGGACATTAGTGAAAAACAGTAAAGATTTACTAGTGTTATGTCCAAAACTGTAAAAGATAGCCTGGTATTTAGAAAATCAAGGACTTGCATTTGTATTCTAAACTATAGAAGCAAGAGAAAGTCTTCTTAACAGTAGCGATTCAAGATCCTTCCAAATGCCAGTGGTCAGTAGATGGGGAGGAGGGACATGTTTGAGGCTGGGAACTCTGTAGGGATGTAGAAGTATGTGTGAGATTTCAGGTGCTTATCCAAAAGGATCATAGGTCAGAACATCAAGAAAAGCTGGTGATATTGCAAGAGCATCAGGAGTCAGGAGCCCAAAGACTCAATGTTCTCTCTAGATGCTACTTAATTCATCACCACCTGTCTTTCCATATATAATGCCAAGACAAGACAGCCAGTGGCTTCAGAGATGGTCTGAGCTGAGCATGGTGCCGTTATAGGCATTCCCAAACCTCTAGAAGTAAGGCACCCGGCCTGTGAGGATCATTGTACTGCTGGAGCATCTCTAGGCGGGACCTCAAACCAGACACCATAGGATGAGGGCAGAGCATCCCATCACCGGAGCAAGCCATCATACATTCCTAGTGGGGAAAGTGAATGTTAATTCCATCTTGAGTTCTCTATACTTCTTGGACAACACAAGCAAATCTGGCCTGAGTAGGTGATATTCCCAAAAGGGGTTGGCAATTTTGATGTACAAACAAAAATTGGTATGGATGACGAGGGTCAAGACTCAGAGATTAAAAGTCTCCTTTCTGAGCACTGGTCCTGGGTACCCAAGGACATTAAAGCATCACTCTGGATGTTATTGGTGTGGTATTTCTTGCAAGTCATTCCAGTAATGCAGTTACTTGGCCTATTTTCTTCCTGTGGTAGTCCTAATTTCTTAGGTGAAGGGTGAAGAGAACAGAGTTATTCCCTCAGAGAGTGCTAAATCACAAGGTGTACCCAGAAATCTCATGGCCTTGGCCTTTATTGTTGGCAGGACTAGATTATTGTAGAAATGGGCTGTGGTGCAGCATAATTCCTTGTTACCTGTCTGGTCACCTATCATTTAATGGTATTCTTTCTGGTTCAGTGATCATTACCAGTGGAACAAGATGGGCTTGTGGAACTACTGATGCCGTATTTAATAGTCCACATCTGTGCTTGGGACTATGCCAAGGGACAAGGAATCTCAAGCTAGACAATGCTGTACCACTGGCCATCAGTATTTCTGGAAGTTCCTAAGAAAGCCAGCATTCCAGAATCTTCAACTTTTTGGCAGCTCAAAACTGCCAATAAAGTCAATATTGAGCTTGGAGTAGATGCTACAGGAGAAGAAACAGCCCATTCCATTGATTCAGAGTTATAAATTGACAGTGAAGTTTGGTACCATAGAACATATGCAGAAAAGGTGTCAGGCAGGGGTTTATGAGAAAGGCAGGCAGCTGATGGAGTTCTGTCAAATGTCTACAAAGCTGTAGGTCCACAGACGATCAAACAGGACAGCCTTGGACTTTGTTCCCTTTGGCCTTTATGAATACACTCATGACTATTTTATGTAATGCCTGGTTCACAGGGACAAGAACACAAATATCCTACATACAACGATGCTTCTGAGGAGGATACATATTTGCGCTTTTGAAAAAGGGGTCACCACAATAATGATGACTGAGCTGAAAATATAGTTTCTGTGATAGGCACTGAATTCAGTGCTTTTTAAACAGCTCAGTTAATTGACATACAAGTCGGTGAGCTTGAAATTGTCTTCCAATTTAGTAGATGAGAAAACTCGGGCTCGTTCAGGTTGCGTATCTTGCCTGAAGACACTAAACAAATTTTAGAGCCTCTATTTCATATTAAAGTGCTTTAACCTATGCAGTAAGACTACAGAATAAGGCTAATGGGGACAGGTGAGATAATTCTTTTCTCATATTTTTGTTTTGTGTTTTTCTGGCCCCAGTGGGAATCAAACCGAAGCCTGTCCATTTGAGGTGAGCGTCCTACCACTGAGTCACCAGCCCTAGGCTAGATAATTCTAAACAAAAGTAGTCGTAGTCCTTAGGATAAAAACGATCATGTCTGATAGTTTTTCTGCAAGTAAAGTATAATTTAGACAGGCAGGGTATTTACACTTTCAAAGGTCAGTACCAGGCTAAGCCCACACTGGGGAAACTGATAAGAGCGTGTGTGATAGAAATCAACTGTTGGTCTGAGATAGACCTCATCTTACTGTTCTTCTCAGGTCAGTCTCCATGTCTTCTGTCTGTGGTTAGGATGCACACCCCTAACCAGGTACCTTCACCTTCGTTTTTCTAGTGTGTTGCTTAAAATGTTGAGGAAGAAAATGAAAACGATTAAAACTAAGATGTTAAACACATCACCTCTTCAATCCTCTCGGGCTTTTTCTTTAACAAAAACAGTATTACTAAGACAGGGTTGTTCTTTTCCTGTTGTCTGTCCTTTCAAAGTGTTTATAAATTAATTTGCTGTTGATGTTTCCTTAATGTACTGTCCCTGGGCCGAGTACCAAATGAAATCACTTGTATGCTAACAGGATTTCAGTTGTCTGGAGGCAAAGGCAGAACAATAAGGAAACAATCGTTTGTAATTACATTTTAAGCTTTTATTTAAAGACATATACATGAATCTCCCTGCCAGAGCTCTATCTGTGGCTTTTGGTGTGTTGCCTGCTGTGGTTTTACACTGTGACACACACAGAGCCTAGCACAGATATTTTATATGACCTGAGGTTACAACATTAAAAACAATTTTAATATTCAAACCAACATCAGACATTTCACCTTCAGAGATAAATTTTGGCTCAGATCAGTTCAGTGTTATAATTTAGATACTGTGCTCAGACCTCAGAATACTGACTCTAAAGTCATACTGTCATTTTACTCTTTCTTGTTTATTTCATCAGATTTTAGGTGAATCCTAATCTTTTTGCTTTCAGGAACACGATGAGCACATTTAGACCTGCCAACTCAATCATAGCAAGTGAACTTTTTTTGGATATTAAGATTAATCTTAATTATCCAGATATTAGTTGGATGTTTCAAAAACAATTCACAATTCCTTTACCCCCAAATCTATGGCCAGTGGTGAAAAACCAGAAACATTTCCTTCTCAGAGTTGTTAGGGGATTTGTGTATTGTTTTTGAACTTACTATCTGAAATACTTTCCTGTATGCTTCCAACTATCTCATAATATTCTAGCATCTCTAGGGGCAGATTGTGCTGGATGGTGGATGGGTCCTTAGGTCAGAGCTAGTGGGTCAGGATGGGCTTGGCTACTGTGTGACTGGTCTCTGTCTATTGGCCCTCATTAGGGCTGTGAATTGATGGAGGGCTTACTAGGCAAGGTGCCACTTTCCATGAATTATTTCAGTGATCATCACAGGAGCCTGTATTTTTCTGTTCCCACTTAACAAATGAGGTTTGTAAAGAGCTTAGGTAATTTGTTTAAGGTCATACAACTAAGGCATGATAGAGCTGGAGATCAAGTATACTTCTAGCCACTTCTAAACCCCAATTGTAGCCATGTAACAGATTGCCAACCAGACTCTCTTCTGAGCCACAGTCTCCTCACCTGCTCACCAAGGAGTTGGAATCTCATGATCAATAAATAGCTGCCAGCTTGGAATATTTTGAGTTCTAATCCAGCAAGTAAACAGATGTAGGAACTTAAGTTTGCTACGTATTTTAGCCTAAAAGGGGCTAAAACCATCTTTCTGAATTTGATGTGGAAAATATTGCAAAGAGCTAAGTGGCCAGCATGGAGGTAATTGCCAAACTGATAGCAGCTGTGAAAGCCACTTGGCGCTCAGCAGCTCATGGCAGTGTCTCCTTAAGAGCAATAAACTGACTAAGAACCTTGCCCAGGAGGAACCCGATCTCCAATCTAGACCTCTGAGAATTTGCTCTGTGTTTTCAGAATATGATGTATTCTGAATCGGACTAACTGCTGGAATATAGACAGCCAGAAACTTTATGAATCTTGGAAAATAGGCAGATGATAAACAGAAGATAGATAGATAGATAGATGATAAATAGATGATTGATAAATATGAGGTCAGAATATCCTCCCTGGAGAATCACTTGGGAAGCAGAACAAAATGTTTGACACTTGGTCCTCTAAGTACGACTTGCCTAGCCTTATATCTCATAACTTTTAAATTATTCATAAATGCTGCAGTTATTGTACTACTTAAGATGGTAAATAAGCCAATATTTAATAGGTGATGCATACATGAATGAAATGTTTGCTTATGATGAAGTTGCACATCTCATTTCCAATCCATCCTTTGTTCGTCCCTTTACTATCGTCATTCATTAGATCTTGCCAAGGAAAATTCATGAGCTCGGTGGCTGCGATGCCGGGAACAGTCACTGATGCTTCTTAATGTGAACCCAGGAATTTCTGTTGAAAAGTGATCTCATTCTTTACCATTTAGTTAAAATGTGTTCTGGCTTTGTTCATGAGGCTAAAAAAAGCATCTAAGCTGATAAAGGGAAGCAATAGCAACAACCACAAAATCAATTAAGCTGGTTGCTTGACTTTCTGATCTGAAGGCAGTAAGTTGATTGACTGTTTTCAGCTTGGCCTTTACTGCCCACTAGCACAGTTACCTAGCACTGCAACACATTATTTCACAGTGAGACCTCAGGCTAGCTAGCATGGCCCTCACCTGAAAACTGGCTAAAAGTGCAAATCTCCTTTCCAGACCTACTCAAAATGTGGAGGTAGGGCTCAGCAATTCATTTTAAAGAGCCCTACAGGTTAATTTCAATGTTTAACAACATTTGAGAGCCACTATTACATTAATTAGTTGCACAGTTAATTAAAAGGTAGAGTAGGAGCTAGGAAATGGCATGAGGGCTGAGTTTGAATCCCTAGCATAGGTATAAAAGTCAGTGCTGTGGCGTGGACCTGTAGTCCCAATGCTGGGAAGAAGACAAGAGGATCCCTGGGGCTCAATGGATAGGCAGTGCAGCTAACGGATGAGCTCCAGGTTCAGTGAGAGGCCCTGTCTCAAATAAATAAGGCGGTGACAATTGAGGAAGAAAATCCATTTGGACCTCCGCATGCATGCACACACATGTGCATGTGCACCTGAATGTACATGTGGCATACATGGGTACATACATATGCATACACCATACATAGAAGTGTACACACACACACACACACACACACACAAATCATTGTCAGAAGGGAAAAAAATCAAATTTTGTTATGTGGTTATTTGATTAAATCCTTTCAAAAGTTAGTTAAAAAAGTACTTAAGAAAATTGCATCAGTAATCGTTTAGTCATTGTTCTTTATTTGATCATTTCTTTCCTTTTTTTTCTAACTCTTTGATATCAGTGAAAAATCTATGCAAGCTGAGTTTCTCTTGTTAAATTCAGGGATTGTGCATATAGAGTTTCGGCTGCAAAGCATCACTATGCATTCATCTCTTTTAGATGAGATGCACAGGTGGTTTAAATTGTGGCTTCCTTAACAAAACACACCCTCACTAACTGAAGACTTTCTTGAGTTTAGAATCCACAGAGATACCAGTTAGAGTTTGGGATGCTTGAGGTGAGGCTCAGGAAAACTATCCAGCTACAGAAAGCTATATATGCATGCCTCCAAGATAGAGGAAAAACTAAAGAAGGCAGGTTATTAAAGACTATATTTTTAATAGTTGAACTTTTAAAAACTTGAGATTTTAGAGGAAACACATCAAATGTCTTAGTGTGAATTTGTCTAACCATATTGTACTCATTTTGCGAATTAAATGGTTCTAACACAAATATTTCAGGATATGGATTAGAGTGGTATAAATTATGTTTAAATATAAGCTTTCCTTCTCCCCTGGCACCCTGAGGTTGAATGACTACTGTACTGGGCTCTTTCTAAATTCAACTTATTGTTTTGAATAGGAAGTTGCTTCTATTTGATTTGATCTTGCTTCCTTTCTGTGGTCGGAGCTCCACCTAGTGTACATCCTGGGAACTCCTTTTGAAATAATTCATTTTGGAAACCTTTCAGAATTCTGAACTGTTTTTCCTTAAGTCAGAATCCTCAACAGCAATAGCATTTTAAAGGAGAAAATAAAGGTTTTTTACTTTCAGGCATTATAACAAAGTCAGGTCTGCTAGCCTATCTCATTTCTTTCTGATTAACTTCTGTTATGCCACATTTCAGAATGATGGATGTAACATGACCATATAAAATGGTTTTGTCTGTATTTTACCATAACTTTCTAAGGTGTAATTGGGTCACCAGCTGTTTTATGTCAAGATGATCAATCTAGAAGCATCGACTTCTCTCTGAGTACTGGGAAGACTAACCAAAAGCGTGAGGGAAAATTGCTTAACCCTTTCTACTGTATTTTGCATATGCATTTCAAATTTGGTGTATTTTGGAACTAAAAGTCATGAAATTAAGCAATTTACTAGAACTTTATTTCTGGAGTTGCATAAGGAAATAAACATAGATCTCCAAACCAGACTATTTGGGTCAAAAATAGCCTTTTTCTGTCAACAGGCATTTCATTCATGAGACAATAGCCAATGACAACATTATTTGGTGAGAGGGCAGGAATCTCTGGGGTTGCTGGATTTCCATTTATAAATGGAATACATATTACAACATATACTTTGACATAACACCACCTGACTTTTCTCCAATTATTTTTGTTTTAGCTTATCCAATAAAAGTACTAACATATTCGTTAACAACGTCGAAAGTAGCCTACTTTAAGAGAAAATATGCAGAAGAAGAAGATTTACATCAAGATTACCATGGGTATTTTCCAAAAGTAAGGATTTACCTTTTCCCCTATTTTTTCCTGAATGTTTTTAATAGCAAAAGGCTCTAGTTTTCTCTTCTCTACGTGTAGAGTAAATACCTGTGTTTGCTTTCTAGCACCTGATATTACCTGAAGACAGGACTTGCATCCTCAAAATTTCTCTGGAGAAGCTCAGGTTTCTAGAAGACCCAGAAACCTACTTAAGAAGGTCTGTGTTAATTAACAATTTGCTGAGGAAGATACACCTGGAGACAGAGAAAGAGAGCTATGAATACTTTAAAGAAGCTCCCTGTTATAAGACTGCTTATTCTGATGCAAGAAAACGGCTGAAGTTTATGGTACAGGAATGCTGTTCCCAGTCTCTTTATTATGAAGAGCTGCATTCCTACCATATCGTGCCTTATGCTTCAGGAAATGCCATTTATGGAATGGGCTACACTAGTGACCACTTGGAGCAAAATTCTCAGTTGCTTATTTATAAAATGAATTAAAGTAACTGTTAAGTTCATTAATATTTTGTTTCTAACTGCCTGAACTGTTCATAGTGAAGATGTTAATACAAGGCACTAATTGCCAGTGCACTTGATCTCAAAGATGAGATAGATGCATGCTGAATTGAGTGGAGAGAGCCATGGGTATTACCCAGCAGTCCTTAGTACCATCAAATTGAATGGAAAATATATCCACTTATCATAAAGCAGTGAATTAGTGCATTAGAAGCAAAGAGGTTTTTTTTTAAGATAAGAAGGGATCTATATCAAACTGTTAGATTAAAGCTTTTAAGCCCCCAAAGTCCAAATTTTGTCACTCTTAGTGAAAAGTAATAAAAGGAGCCACGATGTACACGATGAGAATTCCTTCTTTCTGAAACTCTTTGGCCTGTCAAGCACTGTACCAAATGATTGACAGTTTTTTCCTTTGACCGTGAGTGGCAATTCAAGATAGGGCCAACGTTCACTGCAGCTTACCTGCTGAATGTAACAAATGGATTTTTCCAAGCTGATCCATTTTATTCTTTTTTTTGTTTATTTTTCTTATTTGTCTTAATAGACTTTTCTCTTTAAGAATGAAATGTAATAAATTAGCATTGCATATAGGATTATCTTTAGGCTCTAGGGGTTGGTTACAATTTGTGCTGGGCCTTTAAGAGTTTAATTTTTATTTATTATCTTATTTTTTTATAGGCTGTGAAGCTCAGGAAAAGGGTAGGGAGGCAAAATCTGTTTGTAATGGGTTATTTTTTAAAACCCAATATGCAAGAATTGGTGAGGATTATAGACTTTGTATATGATGTCATTTATTCATTGTGCTAAGGGTTCCCATAAGACTGCCTGGATGAAACTTTGCACTGATTTTTGTATAGTAGTCAATCACTCACTATTTAACAAAATGTCTGAGAATGCCTTTGTGGTGAAGTTCAGATAAGTCCCTATGTTTTACACTTTGAAGGGTGATGATTTAACAAGTTGGATAGATTCATGAAATTGTTGGAAATGATTCATTGTGTTCTTTGAGTGAAACGTCCTACTTCAGGATTTGGATTTTTTTGTCCTATGGAGCATTTTTTTTAACAAATTGTTATTGATAAAACAGATTGGGAAAACTAGGTGCCAAAGGTGTATTTAAGAAAATACCAAAGACTCAAAGATGAGTGTTAGGAAGATTGTGAGAGTGAAGCTAGCAGACAAGGTTATAAACTAAGGACTACACTGGACATGCAAGAATATTGCTGAGAGTTTCACAGTGGCTCGCTTACCAGTGTTCTTTCTGAATGCTTTGTTCAGAATAATGATAAACAAGGACATGACTTTAATATACCAAACATTCAGTAATCATATGCTTTCATAATTTTAAATATGGTGACATAGTATTATCCCTAGCTGATGGTAACTTGTAACCTGGCTGGTCTTGTTCTATTAAAGAGAGCTTTGTTTTTAGTTTTGATTCCGTATTTGGTCCCTGTAATGAGTCACCAAGATAATTTTGTACAAGGAATATTGGTGCTCTAATGAAGTGGTACTGTAGAAACTCACGTAGGTATGCCACTGATCAAAGTGTCAGGCTGGTATTTAATTGCTCCATCAAATTTAGGAAAAATGCTTTAGAATAAAGTGAAAAATCATAAAGGAGGTAAAGATTTAAAGACAATTTGGTATAAATGGTAAGATGTCCATAAAAGCTAGCCATAAAAATTTTTAAATTAATTTAAAGGTAAGATTTGGTGCCAAAGTTTAATGTTTTTATTTAATTGCTAAAAAAATACAGATTTACTTAAAAATGGGGATAGCCCAAGACTCTAATTTGATAGATAACATCATATTTTAAAAAAATAGAATCAGCTCTCTGATTCCTGAAATGAACACTGGGCTTGCTTGGCTTAAGGCAGAATCACTAGGGAAAAGATACCAGTGCTAATAGATGCAACATTCTAAAAAGCCTCATGTTGAAATTGGCTAAGGATAGGAATGCACATACTGTGGAACAGAAAAGAAAGGAAGAGGAAAGATCATCAAGAAAGTGTGAAAGTGTCGTGTTGTATGTCAGAAATCCTAAACAAAGCAAGAATATGGGAGAAAGCACCAGGGACAGATATGAAAGTGTTTATTTCATCATGTTATTAACTGAGTTCTCTAATCTCTACACAGTGACTATAGAAAAGAAGTTGTCTTAGAAGCCAGTGGCATTTGTGATTATGCTTTTATTTAAATATTCATTGATTTAAAAAGATTATTTAAAAATACTTTTTAGCAATTCATTTTCCCCAATAAACAGTTCATAGATAAGGAGTTGACTGGTGTTATTTTGATTTTTTTTGAGACAAGGTCTTTCTGTAGCTCCAGCTGGCCTGGAGCTCTCTATGTAGGCTAGGCTAACCTTGATCTCACAGAGCTCTGCCTGCCTCTGCCTCTGCCTCTGCCTCTGCCTCTGCCGCTGCCTCTGCCTCTGCCTCTGCCTCTGCCTCTGCCTCTTGAGTGTTGGGATTAAAGGTATGTGCCACTATGCCCAGCTCTCTTATTTTCTACAAAACTTGAGTTCAAATTATGAAAACTTTACCCAAGTTTATCGAGGATGACTGCTTTACCAGGGCCAGCTGATGTACAAGATGTGTTCCACTACTGGAGGTGCCAGAACAAGGTACAAATCTTTTGAAGCTGAACATCCTTTCTCTGTAGACAGAAGTCATCCTGAGGACAGGAAAGCTGAGCTGTGAAATCTGAGTGCCTTTGGTAGGGCTGCTCACTCTTGTGTGTGTCCAACCAACCTAAAAACCTGGCAAAGAAGGACATAAAGACACAAAGGAAAGGAGATTGAAGAGAAGAGGGGGAAAAGGGCTGGGAGAGCAGAGACAAGGAGCAGGATTAGTAAGGGAAAGAGTAAGTTGTGAGGGGGATCGTTTGCTTGCTATATTCATTTTTTCTTTCCTGTGTCCACTGCATTCAAAACATTTGTAATTTGAATGAATTGAACACCTCCTATTTGAATGAATTGATCTTTAATTTCGTTTATCAATGATGTGTGATACTAGATTCTATTCAGCCCAGATGCTGCTTGAAATATGGTGTTACTACAAACTACTGCTGAAGCTGAATTTTCTGGGTAGATGGGTGAAGGCAAAAGAGGAATAAAGTTGGGAGAGAGACTGAATGCTCAGTGTGTATACAAATGCACACATGCAAGTGCATGAACTATTTTCAATGTACATATCAAGATCAAACAAGTCAGTGCCAGAGGACTTGGAGGGAAGTACAGTTCAGCACTTACTAGGCCACTGGTAGGAGCTAAGCATTGTGCCAATGCTGGGGGATACACAGTCATTTTACTCAGTTTACTGTGAGGAAAACTGAGATAATTTGGTGCTTGCCTTCCTCTTTTCCAAACTGGAATGGTTATCCAACATCTGTTTCCAAAAGTGTTTGCAGGTGATAAGATGCACAAGGAGAAAGAAAGTTCTACTGACCCAGAGCCGGAAATGGAAGGAATGCATGCACTGTGTTTTATGGTATATATTATACTTAGAAATGTAAGATGCCATTATTGCACTGGGGAAACATGACTGGCCTGCACTCGTTTCTGGGACATCCCTCTGGGGAGTTGTAGGGAGACACATTCAAATACAGTACAATTTCTTTTCTCTTCATCTTTCTAGTTTCCTGTTCTTTTACAGAGTGAATCAGGTTAACATTACTGTTAAGAAAAGCCTTATATTGGAAGAATCAGTGTAAGCTACAGCCTGATGACTGGGTCTCCAGTGTGAACAAGGCCAGAGAGAGCTCTCGTTCATTCCCCTTGTGCTAGGAACTGCTTGAATGGATCTTGGGATTTCTTAACCCCTGCTACAGAAGCCATCTTCTCTCTGTCCCATGAGCTCCCTTTCTGAGTCACAGCTGTTCCTGATCCCTAGTCATCTGTCTCTCCCCTCTAGCTGTGACACTGATCTGCTAAAAGACACCCATGGGAAAACCACTTGCAGTTCTGGTTGAATTCCTTTGAAAAAGGGTTTCCAGAGTGTATAAAACTGAATTCATCACAGTAACTTGATCAGTTGTACGTAGTTCTTTTAAAAATGGCTGTACTTAGTCATTGAGTAATTATTCACTAAGGTAGTCTTTTTTCTAGAATTCAGTGTAATAATTATGTTTTGCTAAGAAATACCTTGTATTAGAAACAAAGATTGTATATAGTTAATTCAAGTACTTCATGAATGTTTATGTAATATATGTCAATTTAACTTACATATTCTTAACCTGAAACATCATTACTATACATCAGCAACATGACAAGTGTCAAGTTGTTTTTTCTTAAGTGAATTGTTTCTAAAAGTTGTTATTTTCCTGGTTGACTATTTGGGACCAAACACCTAGATTAAGATAATTCTGTCTTTCCTTGAGGCTTGCTATAGTTGGGTTGATTAAGAGCCTTCCTTTATATTAGTGGTTCTGAGATGTTCCTGAGTATTCGGTTCCCTAGCGCTTCTGTTGAAGTTGTAGATCCTTTTTGTTCATCTTCAGCAGGGCCCAAGAGCCATCACTTTTCGACTTTCCTTGGCCACATGGAGGTTGCTATTGGGTACATTTTTGAGTTTCAAGATCATCTGTCATTTAAGGATAAAAATATAAATGCAAACCTTTACATAGATGGTCATGTCTATTTTCCATAGCAAAAGTGGGCATGGTGGTATACATCGGTAACCTCAACACACAGCAGGTGGAGGCTGGGGGGTCAGAAGTTCAGTGTCATCCTCCGCTACATAGTGAGTTTGAGACCAGCCTGGGATACATGAGATGATCCTGTCTTAAAGAAAAACAAACAAAGAAATAAAAAAGAAAAGGCAAAAATAAATACCACAAAGCCATAAACCCAATTTTCCAGACTTGCCACAAAAAATACTACAAAATTGTATAGCATGCATGGAAAATAACTTCTGCTTTTAGAAGTTTTCATCTAAATGATGTCCAATAAAGGGACATGGGTCTAGTTCTGTCCTGTTCTTATCAGTCAGGAAACAGATGCAGGGTAGATTTCTCCTTCAATCACACTGGGACAAGGGAGTGCTCATTTAGTAGCATTAGCATGAATGTGAAAGTGTTCAGACTTAACAAAAATTTGATACTCTCTTGCTTGGTCAAATTTATGAAAACAGAACAAAAGTATCCATTATTAAATTCAGAATTCTGGGTGTCTGCCGGGGCTGAAGATTTTGGTTAGCCTGAGCTAGAAAATGGCATCTGGTGGGTTCCTTCGCTTCTTGTCTTGAACTCCTGAGCATTGCTTTATGTAAGATCCTCCCTTCTGCAATGGACTTCTTATTTCTCCTCAGTTGTTTATGGGGGGGTCACAGTCAGGAGTGGAGGATTGGTTTAAATGAGAGTTGCGTAAGTTGTCTAATTTGAGCATGCCAAGTGATTGTTTTGCCAGGCTCTTTTGGTCATAAATTTTGGTATCGCTATTGTGAAATACAGTGTCATAAATTTGTCAAGGCCCATTAATGATGGAAGCGAGTCAGAAATCTGGTTCTGTGGGAAAGCATTCAAACATGCAGCAGATGGTGTTCTACAACATTTATTTGTGAAAATGTGTATCTGTTACATAATCTAAAATATGTCTTTTTCACATTCAAAAATATTTGGGTCATGATTTAAAGTTTATATTGGATTGTTTTTTAAACTGAGAGGAAGAAGAAAGGTAACTATTTTATAACATATTTGACATGTTACTAATAAAATCTTATTTCTGGTGAAATATAGGTCCCTTTGTGAAGCAGGGGAGGTGGGATCTTGGATGTGGCAGCTACTTCATGTCCCTAAGCCCCAGAGGTCACCTTTTAGAGACCTGTGGTTCTAGTTCTTTTAGTGATTTATTGTCAATTCAGAGTTTTCCTAAGGAGCTGGAATATATTCCATGTTATGGCACATTTTCTTTGCTAAAACTGACCCTGAAATGGTTGTCAGATAATATAAGTCATTGAAAACATGGTGCTTAGGACTTATTTAAACATACTGTGAATCCCAGTCAAGGATGGTTGCTTTCCCCTATGTAAACTCAGCTGTGTGTCTGTCGTTCCTTGATGGTGGATTTACTAGGTAGAGTAGGCAGGTAGGATGCACCAGAGGGATACATTCTTTCTCTTGCTAGCAGTGGCTGCTGTTTGGTATTGACTTTGAAACAAATGACTGCCAAATTCCTTACAAGCTATGGATATGTGTGGTACACAAGTACCCAGGGTAAGATGTTACAAGAAAGTAGCATTTTCCTGTGCACATCCCACCAGACAACTTGCTCTAAGTACACAGTTATTTGAACAACTCAGGAACAACTGACCCATAAGAATGACAGGGACTTTCATCAATGTGCTAGCAGAAATTTAAACACATAGGTTTGACTGTACCTAATGGTAACATAAAGAGCCAGTTTCTTCCAGAAAGACAGAAGGAACTCTACATATTATGTACCTTTTGTGAACAGTGTCTGGTGTGTGGTATTAAGCCATGGCATAGTCCGAAGACTCTTAGTTTTTCCTCCCATAAATTTTGTGCCCTTTCCATCTGAATTCTATCTTTATTTTGAAAAATAGGTGGTTATACTTTTCTTTGCTGTTGAAAGTTTATGGGGCATGTTTGTGTGTGGACACACACACACACACACACACAAACATACGCATACAGTACAAACTACAAGTTGCTAGTGAATGAGCTTTTTTATCTGCTGTTATTAGAAGCAAAGAAAGACTGGGGCTAGAGGGATGACTCAGTGGGTAAGGTTAATAACAGGTACGACTCTTGCAGAGGACCAGAGTTTCATTCCCAGCACCTATGTTAGGTGGCTCATAACCACTCGTAATTCCATTTCCAGAGTATCCAATGCTTCTGACTTCTGTGGGCACCTATACTCACGTGCACATACCCACAACCACATGTCATTAAAAATAATTTAAAAAAATTTAAGAAGAAAGGGTTATACCTTCAGGCTCATTCTTTCAATAAGTTTGAAATCTGTGTAAGATTGATAGTAGAAACCACTTGGGGGGTGCTGGAGAGATGGCTCAGTGGTTAAGAGCACTGGCTGCCCTTGGGTTCAGTTCCTAGCACCCACATGGTAGTGCACAGTCAGCTGAAACTCTAGCTCCATGGGATCTAACACCCTCTTCTGACCTCCACAGGCATTACATGACATGGGTGCAATTATATACATGCAGGCAAGACACTCATACACATGAAATAAAATAAAAATAATAAACAAAATATTGTTTTTGTTTTTTTAAAAAAAAAACACCTTTTAACCCTCA